TGGCTTGAGTGCTTCATGTACTTGCGCGATCACATAAATGGTTTCATACCCATATGACTGCGGGGGGCGATGCCCGATGGATTTCGGTTGCCGTTTGCGATAGAGTTCGGAACGATGCTCTTAATTGAATGTCGTCGTCGAGCGAGGTCGAGATGTTGTCATGCTTGATGGGGCGAAACGATGGCCGGTTACGCCGGATGACCACTGATGCGAGAGTCGATTGTGGCCCTAAGTAGTCATAATAATCGAAACACGTGTGGATGCATTGTGCATGATTATGTGATATGGAGTGTTCTTGATTACTATGTGCAATTGTCGCATGCCAATTGGAAGCAAGGCTTCACGTGTGATTATTTGTGTGAATTGTATGTGCCGACGGGAGGTAAGTATTCGTGTGTGATTATTTGATTGCGTTTTGGTATGCCAAGAGGTTGAGGCTACCGTTCGTATTTCCAAGGTGAGGTATCATCCTACTCGACGTTTAGATGTTCTACTTATTGAGTTTTACTAATGTGTTGTTGCTTACCTCTTTTCAGGCCCCTAGTATGGACACTCGGATTGTACGTTTTAGTGTCTCGGTAGACCAAGACGTAGAGATGGTTGAGTATGTACTACCGGGGACGGATACGACGTACGAGGAGTATACAACGACCGTTTGGGTCGACGGAGGGCTTACCAACTTGGTTCCTCATCGTTTTAAGACATGGTATGTTTGGTTCAAGGGAGAGCGTTGGGGACCTCTCTGGGGCTTTGACGGACTCCCAGGTGCGCCGGACACAATTCCGTGGGACTCTATGATGTCAAACTTCCCTGATGGTGTCGTCAGTGATCCGGAGTCGGATCCGGATTACAACCCTCAACCCAAGCCATAGCATGCTCGAATGTGGAGGAAGCCATGTTCTTTTTGAGGTAGCTCTCGTAGATAGAGGAGCTAAGTAGACCTCGACCCCCTCTCCTTTTTGTGATATAATCGGAAAAGGGCCGCTGTAGTGGGCGTGTATTTATCTTTACTTCCAATGTGGGTCGTTATTATTGAAGCATGTTTTTTTGAATGTGTTTTCCATACTATCCCTATGGTTGTTGTTGTCGGTTGGATGATTTGGATTTCGCTTCCGTATATGCTTATTTGTTAGATAATAGGATGGGTCAGTGACGCCTCGTAGGACGTTGCAATTAAATGATCTAAGAAGGGAAGTCACGCGTGTGAGCCTTGGTGGATCGGACCGGGGAGTGACACGTATCCAACAACAACATTTTACTCGATGAAAAATACAAAGCTCACGTCTCTAATTTTGGCACGGCTAATTGGACTTCCTCTGGGGACACCTTTGGATATGCAGCTCCGGGACACCCAATTTCTTCAATAAAAACAACAAATTAAATAGCATTACATGTATCTGGCCAATAAAAGATAGCATTGATAAGAATGGGTGGCCAACAAATTCTTGAGTTAGTGGTTTCACAGTTGCCCCTTCCAATGGGTAGCTTTTGAGCAGAGATCCTTTCAATATACTTCTCGTCGTGTTACTTGACTCGACTTATGACTTATGCATCAACTCTCCTTACCCATATCAGTCTAGAAGCATACATGATCAGCGGTCCAAACGAGCTTGCCATATTGCGTACGACATCGCGAAGAGAATAAGTAAAGCTATCGTGGAATGCTTCATTAGAAAATGGGATCAATTAAAGCAGTGCCGTTGAAGACCATTTCCTCTATATTTGAGATTTAGAAGGAAAAAAAGGGTACTAAATTTACATTCTGAATAGATATTATTGTTTTTAGCATTTTTTCATGCTTCCATTTTGTCAAGAAAATTACTAAAAAAGTCTTAAGCCTATTGCAATCGTGTCAATTCAGTCATAAACTTTTTTTTGTCAATTGAGTCCTAAATTTTTTACATTTATGTCAATTAAGTCCATCCAGCTAATTTTGGCTAGAAATTATTGACATGGACGCCGGACATCTTACGTGACTTAGCGAGCGCTGACGTGGACAATTTTTAATAATATTTTAATAATTTTTAAATTATTATTTTTTTCTTTATCTTTTTTTTCTCCTTATATTTTTTCTTCCCTTCTTCCTCTAGCCGATCGCCGGACCTCAACGACTGGCCAGAGGCAAGGGCTAGCGAGGTTGAGCCTCTACTTGCTATTGGCGAGGTCACTCACCAGCCTTGCCATCGCTGGGCAAGGCAAGCTCGCCCTTGCTAGTGGACCTCGCCAGGGGTTCGGCGACTGGCTAGAGGAAGAAGGAAAGAAAAAAAAAAGATAGAAAAAGAAAAGAAAAATAAATAAATAAATAATTCAAAAAAATAATAAAATATTATTTAAAATTGTCTACGTCAGCATCTGTCGCGTCATGTAGGATAATAACCAGCATCCATGTTAGCGATTTGCAACTAAAATTGGCTGGATTGATTGAATTGGTATAAATGTAAAATGTTTAGGACTCAATTAGAAAAAAAAATAAAGTTTAAGACTGAATTGATACAAATGCAATAGCTGTAAGACTTTTTTGGTAATTCTCTCCTTTTTTGTCCCTTCAAAGTACAAGCACTATTCCCAGAATTAAACCTTCTTGGCTAGCTTCAAACCTTTTTTAGGGTGCCGTATTTCACGAGTGGAGATTATCTTCCCTAAATTAAAATAGTCACCATCACCGAGGTAAACTTTCTTGACTAGCCCCAAACCTTTTTGTAATAATGCAAACATGACAAAAATCTAGAAATTTGGCGACCATGACAAAATTCCAAACCATTTTTTAAGTAATTGAAGACTTTGGCAGTGAGGAGGGATTGTCACCGAGATTACCGACTTGGTTGTCGACTTCATGGTCCGAATTCTCTTCTATAAGTACGTCTCCATCGTACTTCTCTTGCTCATGCAAGAAAAAGGGAAGAGCCCGTCCCAAATAATCTAGACGACCTGCCATGGCCTCGTCTCCAAAACAACCCTCAGTGTTGTTCTTCCTTGCTCATGTCCTCATGCTCACACAAGAAAAATATAATCTTAGACCCGTGGAAGAGAATTAGATATTGACTACATGTATGCAACACCGATCGTAGATTGGTTCAAGAGAATTTTCTCTTCTTTAGAGATTGTTGAAAGAAGGGCGGTAAATTTAAATTCGGTATAAATAAGTAAGTCGACTTAGATAGTATTAGTTTTTTGCATTTTTTTGCCTACTCTTTTGTTTCCCCATCAAAGTTCAAGCACTATCCTAATTCTAGACTTTTCCTCCATTGACGTCAAGTTGCAAATGTTTGAGAATCCGTCCAAGTCTTTTAGGTGCCGTGTTTCACGAGTGGAGAGAATCTTCTCTAAATTACAACATCCCACTTCTTCGCAGAGGTAAACCCTTCTAGACTTTTCCTCCATTGACGAATAAGTCTTTGCAATTTCGCAGAACAAGTTGCGATGTGACTTCTCTGGACTAATAAATATACTCCCCTTTGTTGTTGATTGTTGATTTGATAAGTCCAATTACGTGATCAGAACGAGAGGGAAGAAAGACTTGACTTATTTTGAAGCAGACTAGATTATCCTCCACGCAAAAACCAACTAGAAAACTCTCCACTTTCTTCTTCCCTGATTTCACGATTTACCTTTCAATTCCCGCATTAAAGTCCCCCATTGACCAAATGAAAATTCTGCACCTTAAGAAAACTTAATAAAACATAAATTTGAAATTCTATCTCAACCACTGGCCAGGCATGTGAGGCTTGGCCCGATCCACATGGGAGAACTTCAAATAACCAGATCAGGTGGTGACCATTTATAGGCGTAAGTGTTATCTCCCTGAATCAACCTGACATGGGGTATTGGGATGGGGAAAATTACCAAAAAAGTCCTAAATCTTTTGCAATTGTGTCAATTCAGTTCTAAATCTTTTTTTTGCCATTTCAGTCCTAAACCTTTTGCAATTGTGTCATTCAGTCAATTTGGCCACTTTTGGCCGACCGGCACTGACGTGGATGCCGGCCGGCTGACGTGGCATTATTTTAATATTTTTTTCCTTTCTCTTTTTTTTTTTCTTTCCTTCTTCCCCCTGGCCGGACCGGCCAGGGGGAGGCTCGCCGGCGAGGTGACCTCGCCCATGTCGGCCATGGACGAGGTCGACCTCGTCCAGCGACGGTGAGGCCTCACCCAGATATGTCAAGACCTCGCCGTCGCTGGGCGAGCTCAACCTCACCCGGCGACGGCGAGGTCTCGCCAGATTTGGGCAAGGCCTCTCCGTTGCTAGGCGAGCTCAACCTTGCCTATGGCCGGCGAGGTCGAGCTCGCCCAACGACGGCGAGGCCTCGCCCAGATCTGGCGAGACCTCGCCAGCCATGGGCAAGGTCGACCTCCCCTCGCCCAGCGATGGCGAGGTCTCGCCAAATCTGGGCGAGGCTTCGCCGTAGCCGGGCGAGCTCGACCTCGCCATGGTCGGGCGAGGTCAAGCTCGCCCAGTGACGGCGAGGCTTCGCCAGATCTAGGTGAGGCCTCGTCGGCGAGGTCGGCCTCGCCATGGTTGGTGAGGTCACCTCGCCGGCGAGCCTTCCCCTGGCCAGTTCGGCCAGGGGGAAGAAGGAAAGAGGAAAAAAAAAAAGAAAGGAAAAAAATATTAAAATAATACCACATCAGCCGGTGGGTATCCACGTTAGTGTCAACCGGCGTCCATGTCAGCGCCGGCTGGCCAAACGTGATCGGATAGACTGAATTTGCATAATTGTAAAAGGTTTACGATTGAAATGACTAAAAAAAAGGTTTAAGACTGAATTGGCACAATTGCAAAAGGTTTATGACTTTTTTGGTAATTTTTCCTAGTGGGATGTTTCGAGGTTTTGAGAGGATTGAAAGACTTTCGTAACGAGGAGGGACCGTCACCAACATTATTGACTTGGTTGTTGACTTGATGGCCCCGATTTTCTTCTTTAAGTATGTCTTGGTTGTGCTCCTCAGGCTCATGCAAGAAAGAAAGAAAAGCCCACCCCAAATCACCTAAACAACCTGTCATGGCCTCATCTCAAAAACAACCCTCCATGTTGTTCCTCGCTTGTGTCCTCCTCATGCTCACGCAAGAAAGGCCTTGTCTTGCTTCATCTCGAAGCTCTTCTCTAGTGGCCCTTGCTGGTGCTAGTAACCAAACGGTAAATGAGGAAGTGGAGGCACTCCTAACATGGAAGTCTAAGCTGCACAGCGAGAGTCGTTCTACTTTGTCTTCGTGGAATGGAAGCAACCCTTGTTCATGGCGCGGAATCGATTGTGATCCTCTCGGGAGCGTAGCAAGCTTGAACCTTTCAGATTCTGCCATACGTGGTATGCTTCGTCATCTCAATTTCTCCCAATTGCCCAACTTGGTTGCTCTAAAGCTTGCCAATAACTCACTCTTTGGGAACTTCCCTCCGAGCATGGCTGATCTTGCCAAGCTTACTCATTTGGACTTGTCTCGAAATAACCTTTCGGGAAACATTCCAACTCAACTCGGGTCATTACGATCTTTACAAGTTCTCGAGCTTTCGTATAATAATTTCACTGGCCCAATTCCCAATGAGATAGGTAGCTTGAGCAACTTGGCCGCCCTAATCCTTTCACATAATAAGCTTTCTGGTTTCATCCCTAAAGAAATAGGAATGCTCAAATCTCTCAAATATCTCTACCTGATGAACAACCTCATCACCGGTCCAATTCCTCCTTCCATTGGAAACATGAGCAGCTTGTTGTATGCATGGCTTTTCCGTAATCAACTCGGGGGGTTCATTCCGAAGGAAATAGGAATTTTGGGGTCACTAAAACAACTTGATTTATCAAGAAATTATCTCAATGGATCCATCCCTACAACTTTAGGAAATCTCAGTAATTTGGCATCTCTTTACCTCTATGTCAACCAACTTTCTGGCCCCATACCTTTTGAAGTTGGAGGAATGAGATCCCTCGTACATTTCCAATTGCAAGTCAATGAATTAACCGGTCCGATCCCGTCATCCATAGGGAATATGGGCGCTCTAATTGAATACATTCTTCATGACAATAATCTATCTGGTCCTATCCCTCAAGAGATTGGAAAACTAGGACTCCTCAGTCATCTAAGTCTACATGTGAATAATCTGGGGGGCTTTCTTCCCACCGAGATGAATAATCTCACATCCCTCACAGTCATACAGCTATCTGATAACAACTTTGTTGGCCAATTGCCACAAGAAATATGCAGCAGCCAAGCTCTTGTACGTTTTACTGCAGTAAACAATCACTTCACCGGACCCATCCCAAGAAGCCTGAAAAATTGTTCAAGTTTGTATAGAGTTAGGCTCCAAAATAACTCACTCACCGGAAATATAACGGATGCTCTTGGTGTGTACCCATACTTAAATTACCTTGCGTTGAGCAACAATGCACTTTACGGTGAGCTACCACCAACATTGGGTGAATGTAGAAATTTGACGAGCTTCAAAATCTCCAACAACAAAGTCTCCGGCATTATACCACCTCAGCTTGGAAACATGAATCAATTGCACATACTCGACCTCTCTTCAAATGATATTGTTGGGGAAATACCTAAAGAACTTGCAAAATTGAAGTTGCTGCTAGAGCTTTTGTTGGACTGCAACCACCTTTCAGGCCACATCCCTCTAGAACTTGGAGCATTGTCCAGTCTGCGGAAACTCAGCATTGCAGGAAACAATTTGAGTGGCTCAGTAAGTACCCAACTTATGGAGTGCTCCAACCTTCAGTTCTTAAATTTAAGCAGGAATAATCTTGAAAAGAGTATTCCTATGGAGATCGACAATCTCCGGTCTCTCCAAGTTCTCGATTTGAGTCAAAATTTGCTTACGGGAGAGATACCTAGACAACTTGGGCTATTGCGCAAATTGGAAATACTCAATCTCTCACACAATATGCTCTCGGGTTCAATTGCGTCGACCTTTGATGATATGGCTAGCTTGACATCCATCGACATATCGTATAATGAGTTAGAGGGTCCTTTACCCGACATCCCAGCTTTTCATAATGCTACAATTGAAGTTGTGAAAGGGAACAAAGGCTTGTGTGGAGTTATTGCTAGTCTCGACCCTTGCTTAGCAACAATGTTGAAAGGCAAAAACAAAAGCAGAAAGTTGCTGCTAATTTTGATTCCCTGTTTAGGTTGCCTATTTTCGTTGCTTCTTGTTGTGGGAATATCAAGATTAGTATGCCAAAGATTAAAGAAAACAGAGCCTATTTCGAATGACGGAAGCAATGAAAACCCATGGGCAGTATTGAGCTTTGACGGAAGAATGGTCTACGAGAGCATTATTGAAGCCACGGAGGAGTTTGATGCCAAATATTGCATCGGTGTGGGAGGACATGGGAGTGTTTACAAGGCCCAGTTGCAAACAGGTGAGACTGTTGCGGTAAAGAAATTTAAGGAAGCCGTGGAAGTCGAAATCACTAGTCGAAAAGCATTTGAAAGGGAGATTCATGCTTTGACTGAAGCTCGGCATCGGAATATTATCAAGCTCTATGGCTTTTGCTCAAGTTCTAGATATTCATTTTTGGTGTACGAGTTCTTGGAATTTGGCAGCTTGAAGGATTTATTGAACAATGAAGAGAGGATAATAGCATTTGATTGGAATAAGAGAGCGAATGTTGTTAAGGGTGTGGCTTATGCTTTGTCCTACATGCACCATGAATGCTCTCCTCCGATAATTCATCGAGACGTATCAAGCAAGAACATTTTATTGGATGAAGAATACGAAGCTCGCGTCTCTGATTTTGGCACGGCTAAGGTTCTAGAACCTTATTCATCCAATTGGACTTCCTTTGCAGGCACCTTTGGATATGCAGCTCCAGGTAAGTTGGTTTTTTCAATAAATAAATCAATTAGATAGCATTACTAAGATTTTGGCCAAAAAGATAGCCTTAATAAGAAATAGAATTTTTTTTTGTTGTTGCTATTTTTCCTCTGCAGAGCTCGCATACACGATGGAGGTGAAGGAGAAGTGTGATGTTTATAGTTTTGGAGTAGTGACATTGGAAGTAATCATAGGGAGCCATCCGGGCGATCTTATATCGTCACTGGTATCCTCATCTTCATCATCATCAAGCATTTCAACAGCTCTACATTGGCCACTAGAACAAGTTTTAGATCAGAGAATTCCATACCCAGAAGGTGACGTACTAGGGCAAGTGGCTTTCATTGTGAAGATGGCATTTTCGTGCTTGAGTGCAAAACCAGAGCATCGTCCAAGCATGCAACAAGTGTCTCAAGAAATATCGACATGTAATTCGATCATGATAGGCGGAGGACATAAAATTGGAACAACTAGTTGATCCTGGGTGCTTTCCTTATTGACATTTAGGTCTTTCTGTTGCAACTTGTGTAGCAAGTTCTCTCTTTTATTTCTCTTACAGGCATTATATGTTCTATTTCACTTAAGTTCTCATTTTTATATAAAATACACATATGTACGTGATTTTCAATAAAAATTCTGCCTACAGCAGTTTTATTGAACTTATGAAAAAATTCTCAATCTTTTGCAATGAACCGGACTATACACGTATAAAAAAACATGTAGTATATTTAGTCAAAACTACTTTGATTTTGAACTTATCTTATGTCTTTTATTTAGTCAATTAACGATATAACATGTCAAGAATCATTCATATGTCTCAAAATATGAGCAAATTATTGTATCTTTGCGAAAACAAATGTAAAATTCTCGTGATTTCTCGTTAGATAACATGAATCAGCAATAAAGTTCAACTATTAGATATGACATTTGTATAAAATCTTGTGTTTTAAATAGTCCTATTATAACATGTAAGTAATTCTTGTTTATTGTTGTAAATAGATGCGGAAGAACAAACACAGAACACAGGGATTTACGTGGTTCGATCACAACGTGATCTACGTCCACGGGCGAGGCAAGACAAAATTCCATTATAATCAAAGAGAGTCCAGTTTTAAGAAGTCGAAAACAACGACAAAAGCTTACGGCTCACAAAACTCTCGAAAACAAAATTCTCTCTGTACCTCAATGAGAAAACCTAGCCGCGGTATAAATAGTGCTCCCAAAAAAATTTCCTCAGGGGCGTAGCCCCCGAACCCCCAAGACATTTGTTCGTTGCTCCAGCTCTGGCGGACCGCCATAGAGATTTGTTCACTTGCTACGAGTTGGGCCTATCGGCCCAACTCTCCGCTTCGCGAACTAAATCTCAATTTTCGAGTCGCACAAAAATATGTCGGGTCGGGTGTTGAACCATACCGAGAACATAAATTTCAAAACATATTTTACATTTATATATAATACAATTGATGTGAAATCATGAGAGCATCATTTTACGATTTTATTATGACAACCCCGAATTCTTTTGACATACATATTAGAAAAAAACGATAGTATATACATTTTTCGTATCCCGAATTGTATAATTTCCGTCTCGCATATTACCGATAGAGATTCCTTTTACCGGATTTTTATAATTATCTCCATATGTTTCGCAGCATGAGTTCACGTTCGATGCTCCAACAATTTCTATCGGCTCAATTCATGTAACTCGAGTATGACAAAACATTCCGTTCTGGCGTAAAGGCCCTTATGCTTAATTTCACGATCCTCCCTTATCTTGGTAAGGCTTTTGTAAAGCACCATGCATTTTCCTAGACCATCCTTTGGGTTCCAATCAGTCGCTTTGAGTCTTTGACACACCTAACGCCCCACTTAAGTTGTCACTAATCTTAAGATTTGGATTCAAAATTCGCAGCTCGAGACAACCACCGAAGAAATTGACCCAAAGAACTTTTGGTTTTATTTCATTTATTCTTATATTTTAAAATAATAATAATAATAAATAAATAAATATTAATAATGATTTCCTCATCTCAACGTCCTGTTGGGCTGGTACGATTTTCAACAAAACCGTGGAAAGTTCACCTAATAATTAATATCAAAGTGCATCAATCGCTGTCAGAATCCGAGGTGCTTCACATGTCACAGCACATGAACAAAGCAATAAAAGTAAAGCAAATGGACACACATTTTCTTTATAATGACCACGATGGTCCACTTTTTTTATACACTAGATTACAATCGGACCCCCCCACTCGCTCTAGGTCTAGAATAAAGAACAAAATTAGATTAGTTTAGGATCTCTAACGTGCCGATCGCAACGGTACGCGACAACGGGTGTATTCTATTGTACGGTCCAGGCCTCGAACTTTGTAGTCGTAGACATTGTTCCAAGTTGGCTACGAATATAATATGGGGTGCTGGATAAGCGGGACGGAAATGAAAACGATTATCTATCACTGGACACTAAATAAAAAATTTAAGTACAATTGATCGAATACTTCAAAACCCTTTGGATCTCGCATTATTTGTGTGTTTGTGCTAGCTGGAACAATACTATTTGTTTAAAAAAAAATATTGCTAATTTAATCTGGTGATAATATTATCTAGGAGACTCGTTTGACTTTGCACAACGGCTAATTTTTGTAAGAATTAGGTTGATGTATGACAGGGTGTTTCCGCTTTTGGGGCTTTTGAGTTCCAACTGCTTCATGTGCTTTTGAATTAAATTGCGAGGCAAGATGCGAGGCAAGATGATGTTATATTCACGTTATTTGCAACATACAAGCAATGTGACTTCTTAAGAACAAGGGGTACTTAGACAAGGTAACAAAATATAACTCTGCGCATCAGGGGTGAAAAAAATTATAAAAAAAAAGCTGAGGGTGAATAGCAAATGAAGTGTTGGCATATCACTGAATGACTCGATAATGGAGTTCGTATGTTTATTTTTATATACATGTGGACTCCCTCCACTTATCAGTTTAAATTTTTTTGTTAGGCTTTTGATATATCTACAGTGGCGAATGTTGGTGCCAGGGGCAACTATCATGTGGTGGTCGCGTGATGTCTTTGAGTGATCTGCATAGACCATGCCACACACCGGTTTCATGTGAAAGCATGTTGCCTAACTGTCACGGTCCAATCTTTTCTGTTCCACGAGGGCAAGGAAATCGAGCTCTGTAAAACGGTACGAACGATATAATTGCGGCGCCACACCAAGCAGCGTGCAGCACGATCCAACACAGCGCACGACATAATCCGTGCCTGCTCTCGCGATGCCCCGCGCATATACAAACCGCATGCTAATTGAAATGGCCGACGCAATGGTTCCACGGTCCGCAAAAAGACTTCCTCGGCCACTATAACGAGCGAGGGGTCGAGCGCGGATCAAAACGACTCTCATTACAAACCTAAGAACTAGAACGTACCGCGCCCAGGGCACCCACACACACCGAGCGTTCGACGAAATGCGCAAATGGACGCCCGAACGTTTTCGCACTCTTATCCCTCGTGACATTGGACCGCAACGAAACCCCATTCCGACATCATCACAAAGCGTCCACCCACATGATACGGACGCGGCCAGCCACTTAAACAGGGTAAAGGACAGTCAAGGCCATCGCGACGGACAAGGCAAGCTCTGTTCAGACAGATTGCCCCTGCTTCGTTTTGAGCGTTATCATCCTTAAAAAGCCTTTTCCATGCGCGCGCGCGCACGCAACCCGAATCCTATTCCATCTTCTTTGCCTGCGCGTGGCAAAGCCATCCTCGGCCGACGGTCGCTACAAGTCACGAATTCGCGGGAATCCCGAGTCACGGCAGCTGCGCGTCCTGCGTAGGTGGAGGTGGTGGTGGGAATTAGGTCGGAGGATCGCCGCCCCACCGTCCATTCAAAAAGCCTGTGCGCACCACCACCAGCTAATACACGGTTCCCAGCTCGATGGTGGTGGGCGGGCAAAACACAACAAAGAAAGCTCCAAAAACCCCCCTCTTTGAATTCCTCATCGAGTTGTCACCCGAATTCTTAGCTTATCTGTGATCGCGTGACGCGACGTTTTGCCCACTCGGTCCCTCTACTTACGTGTTATTCCGCTGGTGCCACATTTTTTTTTTTGGGAAAATTTAAGGTTCGTACATAACTTCCGATAAAGCGCGATTCGATGCCACTCGAGGACAATCAATGGGGAGATTTAAAACCACATGATACGTTCCACCTACGAGCCCATCAACCAATGTATCCCTTACTGCGCGCGTTTGGTCATCGCGACGGCCGGATTAAGATTAAGTCAGGCATTTTAAGGAATCCGAAACGCTCCACCTCACTATAGCATCAATCTGCTGGGCGTCCTAAATTGATTAGAAATTCTAAACCTGGGGGGGCAGATTTCGAAGAAAGAGAAAATACCGGGAGGGGTCGGAATGAAAATACGCGCAAAAAGGGCGAGGGGTCGGGTCAGGTGAGCTTCCCCCTCAGCTTCCGGTCTCTCTCTCTCTCTCTGTGGAACCGGCTCACTGAAATCCGTACACTCCCTCTCTTTCTCTCTCTACGTATATATATATATATATATATATATATAAACTCCACTTCTGGTGTTGTTAACCCTACTTTGTCACATGCATCTATCGCTCTCTTCTTCTTCTTCACTTGACTCCTCTCGCTTTCTCTCTCTCTCTAGAAGCGAACGCAGAAACGCGACTCAGTGAGTGAGAGAGTGAGCTCTTGCAGGGAGTGGAAACAATGGCCAGCTCGAGCTTCGCGTGCGCCTTGCTCTTCGCCCTCGCCCTCCTGGCCGCCTCGGCCATCGCGCAGTCCCCCGCGCCTTCCCCGTCCAAGTCCCCCGCCGCTTCCCCGACCAAACCCCCCACCGCGGCTCCCGTCCCGTCCCCGTCCCCGGCGGCCACCACCCCCCCGCCGGCCTCCACCCCCTCCCCCAGCCCGGCGCCGCCGACGTCGACTCCCGTTCCCGCTCCCTCGACCGCGAAGCCCCCGTCCCCGCCGGCTCCCCCGACCTCGGCTCCCGCTCCCGCGTCCGCGAAGGCTCCCGCCGTACCTCCCCCTGCCGCCGCCGCCCCGACCCCGGCTAAATCCGACGGCGCGGTCGCTCTGAGCAGAGTCGCGATCGCCGGATCCGTCGCCGCCGCGGTGATGGCCGGTGCGCTGCTGATGTGAGATCGGAGATCGGGCTTTGGATTTGGGAGATAAATAGGTGTTGCTTAGCTGACTCAGTTGTTAGTAGCTCTTTGGTTTTGTAGCCTTTTTTTTTTTTTTGTATTTTGATCTCTCTCATTTATTGCTTGGTTTTTACCTGTGGTGGAGGCGACGATTTGATCAGGAGACTTGGAGTTTTGATTGGTTTTTTTCCTGTTCTATGATTATGATGATGATGATCACCTTGCATTGATTTTTTTTGGTTTGCCTTTGTTTCCTCCTGATGATGATGATGATCTTTGCTTATGGATCTTGCATCTGGCGATCTCCGTGTTTCGCTGTTCGTCGAACTTTAGCGAGTGAATGATTATGGATGATTTCGTGAAATGATTCGATGCGTTCTCGAGTAGCGAAATCCATCTTTTCCCCTGTTCTGGAAGCTCCGTGATGAGTGAGGTTTAATGCTTAACCTTCTTGATTAGGGAGCGTCGTGTGAACGCGAGGAAGAGGGAGGAGCGGGGGAGGGGGCTGTTTTGGTCTTTTCGGGTTTGAAGTGGGGCTTTTGTTTTGTTGGATGTTGAGGATGACAGCTGTTGGAGTCTCTCTTTTAGGAAAAGGGGGAGGGGGTCGCTGCGACGCCGTTTCCGTTCGCGTGGGGGGGGGGATTCTTCCTATTTTGGGGGCCAGCTAATTTTAAATATCTTTTCAGTTTTCTTTTTTTCAGGGGTCTTTTTTGTTAAAGCGATGGGGGGAAAAGGGCGGGGTCACGTGATGCCAACTGTAAGGGCGGGGTGTGGAAGCACATGGTTGTCAGAGAGAGAGAGAGTAGGTGAGAGAGAGAGAGAGAGAGAGTAGGTGAAACCGTGAAGGGGAGGGAGGAAGTCCGTTGACCGGGCAGGGGAGTCCTGCAGCGGCACGTGTTGTTGGTGGGGGGGGTCCTTTTTTGTTTTTTTTTTTTGGGTGATTTTATTTTGATCGGGACTATATAATAAAGTTCTTTTTTTTTTTGGAAAAAAACTGTATGATGTACAACTAATATTTGACCGAGATGGACTTCGCTCTTGATTTCCCCGTCTTTAAAGCTCTTATTCTGTCGCAGTGGGGTGAGCACGATGGATTGCCCGAAATCGGACCGGACCAGTTAGTTTGGTTCGGTTCTTGAGAGTATCGGTCCGGTTTCCGATTCATAAAAATGGAACTAGTTTCCGAACGGTCCGGTTCCCACTCTAGAACTGGACCAGACCGATAAATATATATTTATTTACTTTTTAAAATTTTTGAAAAAAAATAAAAAGTCTAATCTAATTTTTCTAATTCCCTTTTGCCTTTACCTGTTTGCACTTGGCCAGCTTTTATACGTGATGCTTGATGCTTTTTAACTCTGGTCGTGCCTCAAGATTATCCAGCATGACTCTCTCTTCTCCAAATTTAGGTTGTGGCATCTCTGTAATGACTCTCTTTTCATCAATTCTGTAGCTATGTCTTCCCTCTATTTCAAAGTACAGATATGTCATCTGTGAACATTGAGCAGCATATGTAGGTCTCTCGTTTTTTCTTTCTTTTTCTTGCAGAACTAAATATTGATTTTCAGTTCATTTCAATAAGTGATTGGTTCCATTGGAACCGGACCATCGGTCAGAATTTGGGAACCGGTCCGGTTCCCGGTTCTTGGGTGGGACCGGACTGAACCGGAAACCGATCACCCCTATTCTGTTGAGCCGAGAGCTCGCGTGAGACTAATGTTTCCATCGTTTACATGGTAATCTTTGGTTCATTGAACTCGAGCTTTTAGTTCATATACGAATTGATAGTAAATTTACTTGAATCGAGGCAAGAGCTTCGAGTGTTTCGATAACATGTGGAGTCGGAAAGTTGGAGCTCGATCGAGGTGGAGTCGGAGTTTTCGGCTTTGATTGCTGCCTTCTGTTTGGGGAGGATTAGATCAACAGTACATCGTCCTATTCGCGGAAGAGTTTTGGCGGGGGCGGGTCGTGGGTTTAGCCTAAAAATCCTAATGCTGGCTTGCTCGGTATTCGAAAGCGTACCATCTTTCGTCATAATAGCTGATCTGTATGGACGGGCTCGGGTCTAAGGAGGACTCTATCTTGGACCCGTGCGGTGGTGCTTCGAGCCTTGTTGACTAGTGCGGATGGAGCGAGACGCCGCCTGCTCGCGGTCGAGTCTCTGCGGAGGGTCCCGGATCCGTCTTGCCCCACGCCGGAGCTCGGATTATTAGGGCTCAGCGGCTGCTTAACGTAGTCCCACCAGCATTTCATTTCGATCCGAGTTCGAATCATCGAATACTTGCCTTCTCTTGAAATGATTTTCTGGACACACGCGCACATATGATAGTGACCATTGACATTAGCTGCGCCACAGAAGAAGTCTCGCAATACTCGTGATTAAGGGGGAAACAATGATGGTGTAAGAAAGACATTTGCAAATTCCTCTCCTTTGCAAAACCACCATGACACATCGGAGTGAAGGGCATATTCTTTTTGTTGCTCTTTCTTTCTTTCTTTTGAGTGAATTGATGAATCTGATTCTCGATTCCTCGGTAAGTGCGATCCACGTGGTGTGGTGTGGTGGTCATCTCTAGAAAAAGGCCCCGAAAAGTGGTCGTAGCTCGTAGGCCAGCGAATGCTTTGTGGCTCGACAAAAGGAAAGAACGATATGATGATAGGCAAGGCTTCTATATAAAACTTCCAAGGAATTTATTGCTGACGCAAGTTGTGGCATTTTCATCAGCTGGATCAATAAACCCAGGAAAAATATTATATAGGGATAAAAGCAGTTAGTTGATTAGGGTATCCAGAGATTTTCGGCTCGAGAAATGGATGTCGCCGGTACAGGTTCCGTCGATTGCGTGCGGACTGAATTAGATCAGGGTCGCCTGCGTAGGCCAGATGCCTGGACTTAAACCATTCGCGGGGGATTTGTCGGGTGTTGTTCCACAGGACGCTGCGTGGCCGAACATGTACGGTCGTACCGAGGGATTATCAAATAGATGAAAACTTTGAAGAGCAAAGAGAGAAGAGGTTCCGCGCAAACGATCCTTCCACATGGCGGCCGTCGCCTGGGTCGGGCGACCTCGCCGGCCAGATCCGCCCTCACCGGCCGTTCGCCGGCCATCCTCGCGGTGAAGAAGATGAACAGTAACAGGGGCAAAACCGGAATAAAGAAATTTGAGTGAGGGCAATTTGGGAAGGGAAAAATATGCTTCAGCATTTGTGGAATGCTGAAAGCCCAAAGCTGGTCCGGACCAGTTTTGGGCTTTCGGCATTCCAACGGCATTCCAAATACCGACTTTCGGCTTTCCGGACTCGAAAAGCTGAACCAAACGGTTAAGCATTTTGGGAAGGGGCTTTCGAGGCCGAAAGCCCCTTCCCAAAGCTGAACCAAACGGGGCCAATGTATATGTGTCGTATTGGGTATGGATTAACTAAATTTGCATTATATGAAAATGGGTCAAAATGAGCTAAATGGGTTTATTTTGGATAATATCATTTTTGACCTGACCTAAATCCGACTGGACCGGACCCGATCCACCCATAGGTTTCCTTGTACACTTTTCCGAGGTTGACGAAAGAAATACCCAGCCGTAAACAATGGGAAGAAACCACTGCTCTAGCAATGATCCCATCTTTGAAAGATCGATTCACTTTAGCCGGCCAATCCACGAAGTCCTCCATATTCAGACTAATCAAGTAATTTTGTGGAAGGAAATAACATTTCTTAAAATATTGAGATAAATAATACCATAGATAAGAAAACAGAATAAAGTTGCAAATCTGGATTATTCTCCGGGCTTGGGTCACATGGGTGAGTCGATCCTAAAAAATAGAGAAGCCCATCTAATAGGGCTTGGTGCAAGAGGTTCGAAAGAGAATCAAGTCTAAAATTGTCGAACCGAGATGTGGCAGCTCACAGCAATGCTAGGGAGTCCAAAGACGTCGGTGGTGGCCTCAGGATGAGTCATGTTTGTTGTTTAATTGTTTGCCCACCCTCGTAAAATGGCTCCGCCAGATCTAGGGTTTAGTGGGTGGAAGAGTACCGTGAGTTGTATTGTGTTTGGTGCATGTTGCGCCCTTGGCGGCCTTTGAAAATCTAGAGGACCGAGCGCCGTCCACATATGTTCATCATACTTATAACCATATCAAGTCTCCAAGGTGAATAGTCCTTGATCCATAGAACAATGGAGGTAAGGAAAGTTAGAAAATGGTTATGCAATCTCGGGGAAAACCCTACAAATCGGCATCAGCTAACATCTAAATCCAAAGTTATGTACAGTTCAGCCTCGAATTCTCCAACGAATTTTGGTCTTAACCTTGAAAATTACACTCTGAATTCATTGCAGTCACGCCCGATCATTTTACAAACAACATGAAATCTTCCCTTTATGAAGATTTCGTCTTTTACATAAGTTGTGAAAATTGCAATAATAGGAGATGTGAACCTGGCAAGACCACCTTGTTCGTCTTCAATATCATTCACATGCCTAGGCCCATTGTATAATACTATGTGAAGGCCTCAATTCCATGTTCCAAGGGTCCAAGGGCCAAATGCTTCCCTAAATTGACATTTCAAATTAAGTGCTTGGAGCTTCCCCAAATTGACATAGACGAAATGTTTCGAAAAAAAATAAAATCGACCCTCATCATAATCAAGAGATATATGGCTTCTCTTAAGTTAGGGAAGGTAAGCCAACTAACTTTAGTGCTGCGAAAATAAATGATCGAGCATCACGATAAACAAAGCAAGAAAATAAATTGCATATTGATTTTACGTGATTTGGTTTGTTAGACCTATGCTCATGAAGGGAGCGTCACATGATATTACTATAGATTAAGCAATACGATGAGATTACAAACTAGTTCCACACTTGAGTCTCTTAAATACTTTAAGTGTTTCCTAGCCTCTAATCACAATAATAAATTACATATTCTTTTAACCCTCATAATTTCTTGCAAAACAAAAACTCAATTTTACAAAGAAATATGCAAAATCTTATCACAAGATTTAATCGATTTGACACACTTCAAATCTCTGAAGAAATTTTCCAATTGGGTGCAATTAACGTGTCGCTGATATACGTGCACACGGGCATCTCAAGCCCAAGACTTCTGCACATAAAACCAAACTTGCCCGTGAAGAATCCAAAATGGACATAATGATCTCATACTTCCATGTACGAGGCCTACACACACTTAATTTCATCTAGTGTTTCATCCAATTGGCGCAAATTCGAGACACATTCTAATAAATGTCAAACTAGCTAGACGTTTGATGCAAGTGACAATCACTTCTTTGGAAGCTAAACTTATAGCTACTATTCTATCACAACCTCTCATGGACTCCTCAACCACTAGAGACATCTTTCAAGTTCAAGTTGTGCTAGAACTTTGTGATAGCTGCGAACCTCAATAGAACACCAATTTCAACTGTACATTTAGCTACTCGACAAGACTTTTTAGACACAACATCCTCTACTATAAATAAAGCAAACTAGTGTTATATCTGCACCTATCAAACTTAGCAGGTACAACGACCGTTTGCTCTACAAACCATGCCTCACTACGAGCATCGTATGTGTTGATTATGGTGTTAACACCCAGTAACTCTAGAATCTCTTGTTGCAACTCCATCTTGATCTAAATACTATCTAAATTTGTAAAAACAATACCACAACTACTTCTACCTAGAAATAGTGGAGAATCGTCAAATGTAATTGTCCTAATGATGTAAGAAGAATTTAATTCCGGGCACTACAACTGTAATCTTGCTTCCCTTGTGCATAATCTAGAAAAATGCACTTAATTGCCCTATCATCGAGCTTACCATCACTCACTCGAAGGGATAATTGTCTAAAAAGTCCTAAATCTATTGTACGACAGCCAATTCAATCATAAATCTTTTGACAATTTTTAAATTGTGTCAATTTATTCTTAAGTCTTCTAAAGATTTGCCAATTTAGTCTTAAACCTATTATTTGGATAGTTAGTTAGAATGACTTTATTAGCAAATCGTCAAAAAATTTAGGACTAAATTGGCAAATCATAAAAAAATTTAGGACTAAATTAGCACAATTTAAAGATTTATGATTAAATTGGCAAATCATCAAAAAGTTTAAGATCAAATTGACGCAATTAAAAGACTTAGGACGAAATTGTCTGCCGTACAATAGGTTTAGAATTTTTTGGACAATTCTCTCCTCGCTCGAATATAAGACGCAACTAAATATTCTAAGAAAAGAATAATCAGTAACCTCGCCTTGATTACCTGAGTCAAATATCTGATCGCATTGTACGAAACCGGGTAAAAGGATGGTGGCTGAGGTAAGTTTCGGGAACAATGTATCGCCTTTTTAAAAGAGTACACTTTAGTGAAATGTTAGAGATCTTCTTGAGTGTCCAAATCTTGGTATCAAAGGTAATGGGGTTGGGATCTGTCAATCACTGCCGTACATACTACATAGGAGAAAATTTAGCATACAATTTGATTGCAACTGTCAGAACTAGTATTTTAGGAGTTATCATCCTCAATGAACATATAAGAGTTTGCTTTTGACCATGCACTTGTTTGAGCCCGCTCCGACTTTTGCACTAGTGAATTTGGACTTCGAATGTAACGTGTAATTCGTGACTATAGACAAGATTTGTAATGTTGGTCAAGTGTTGTTTGTAGTTCGATCTTAAGGTGGCCGTAATTTGGCTTGGTGGGTGATTATGATCGGACTCAAGGTCGGCCGGATTCGAAAATGACTCGAAATTAAGCTTTTAATGAGACTCTTATATGTGTTTCTGATACCAACCGAATAAATTACAATACACACACGCCTAATGTTCTCACCCCGTACGACCACTACTAAGTGACGGATTTTACTGCAATTGCAATAAAAGGAAGGTCCGCATACCTAACAATCAAATCCGATGAAATTTAAAGCAACGGAACCGCAGATGGTTCAGTGGGACGACAAAGTGCACTGCCCCTATCCTGGCAAATCATGAAAGAAAAGCCAACTCATACAAACAGACCAAGCTAGCCATCACCAATGCCACCATGGGCGACGCAAGGCTTCCGGAATCGGACTTCGGCGTGACGGAACCGGTTGTGGTCGGAGTGGTGGTGGGAGTGGTGGTGGGAGTGGTGGTGGTCGAAGGCGGCGACGTGGTGGTGGTGGCGGGGGAGCCCCCGGAGGTCGAGGGCGTGGTGGCCGGCGACGACCCGGCCTTCACGCTGACTGCGAGCTTCATGCCGCTGCTGCAATGGCCAGCCGCCCCGCAGATGAAGTAGTGGGTCCCGGCGGTCTTGAGGGGGATGGTTGTGGCGCCGCTGTTGTCGGTGTTGATGGCGTTCGCGGCGCTGCACGCGTCGTAGTCGCTCTTGCTCACTTCGTCCACGGAGTGGCCTCCTCCGTAGTTGAACACTGTCGGCAATGAATTTGCGACTAGAGAATTAAGCCACCACGGGAGAAAGAAAAGCATGTACTCCTATCTTGGCCGACCTTGATCATCATATTTTAGCAACAAGAAAGCAAAAAATCAGCACGTCTTAGGAAATTCTAGAGGACTAACCGAGGCTGTCACCGACCGAGAAGGTCTTGCCACTCGTCCAAGTGGTGTAGTCCATCCCCATCACCCATCCCGTCGTGTCGCCCACCGTGTAATCCGTCGCCAAACTTGGTGCCACAAGGCGCAACACTGCAGTTGCACAAAGCATCACAAGACCAGCTCTTGCCATCTTAGGTTTGTGTCTTCTGAGAAAGAGTGAGAGATAGTAATTGGTGAGTTTCAATGGAACACTGTCCGGGTTTTGATTTATATAAAGAGGGTGCGAGGGAAATGGGGCCGGAGTCGGTAATGTTTGGTCTACTTAATCTCATCATGTTGGCGCAGTTTTCGAAAGGAACTCCTCATTGATCCTCCTCACCTAATGCCCTCGGAAAAGAACAGATGGGTCTCATCTCTCTTTAGCCTCTCTTGTCAGCTTGTAATGATGGTGTCCCGTCCATTTCCATTGGCTAAAAAATCTACAGATGCCCATCATAATCCTGAGAATGCTCGCAAGCTTAAAATTAACCACACCACTGATTTTTCTTGAGACATAAGAACCAACCCATCCTCATTGCCATGAGAGCAATTTGACGCAGTGGTGAGCTCACCAGTTCAACCTAGTCATTGTGTTGTACGAGTTCTTAAGTTCTACTCCATGTAATTTTCAAGCTGAATGAACTTGGGAGCTTTTGTTTGTTTGAATTATTGCTATTATTGTTGGGAATGTTGTATCGAGTAAACTGGTGAGCTGTTGAACAGTTGGGAAAGGGAATCCTTCCATAAGAGGGATGATATGTCATTGGGGGACTGAGCAATACTATACTTTTCAATACGCTTTGTGGATGTTCTTACTATTAATGATCAAAATTAATGAAATCGACACAAATTGTGTCCTGGATATAGTAATGCGCGTTATAAAGAGAACTACCGATCCTAAAAGTAGACACGAATTCCTCATTCTTGCACGCAAACACCTTTGATAAGTCCTAATAACTGCCGTAGGAACATTCTTTAACATTTCCCGCATCCTAAAGTCTCGGGGAAACGGTCCTCATTGTCAACAGATTGAGCGGTTTAATCGAGATTTTCCCAGTTTATATCTTTGATTAGCGAGCTACAGTAACGACATGCTCAAGTTCAGGATGTTGCTTAAATTGTCATCAATTGCTTAAGGAATAATTAGGCGCTACGCTCCAATTAAGTTGGAAATTGAAAATCAAAACAAGTAGGTTAGTGGCGACAAGGGGATCAATCCTTCTCAGGAGGCATGATGAGAGAGACGCGCAAGATCTAATTGCTTCAGTTTGAAGCATCGAATTACACCATATTGACATCAGAGGTTAGACAAAATGGGGTAGACATTACTACCACATGTCAACAGCAGGATCATGTAGCTTGATGTGCTTCCACTTTTTTCACCAAACTACGATCAAAACCCTCCACCTAAAAAGGCGATAAAAGGTCGTCGTGGACATCGAGCTTCACCTGCAACAGGGCGATGCAAAGATTGAATCAGGACACGGAATTTTTGGGATGAAACGGGCAACACGCACATGCCAAAGCTCTGAGAAAGTGAGGACATAGTGATGATGGTCACTTTCGAATGGATCGGATGATGATGGGGGGAGGAGTGGGTGACGACTTAGGGTTTGGTGGAGCGCATAATTGTGGAGGGTCCAATTGATTTGGCCAACTGCTCACTCACTCTTTTACGTGGGAATCTGTGTCAAATACATTTGTACACACACCACCCTTTTGCTTTCTAGAAAGGGTTGTAATGTCCTACATTTTGATTTTAATAGAGAGGGAGAGAGAAAACTTTGCGGCTTTATACTTTTTCATGATTATCTTTTGCTCGGGGTGATCCTTATCGTGTACAGAACTTGAGTAGGAACAACAAAGGAGAGCTCATGTAGACCGATGTGAAGGAAAAAGGGGTAAACACGAGGGCCGACCCTCGCAGCCTCTGGCGAGGGCTGATAGGGGCTTGGCGATGCATGACCTCACCGGATTTAGTGAGATTGGGCCTTGCCCATGGGCCGCAAGGCTCCACCCTTGCTAGCCCAGCCGCTGGCGAGGTTGAGCCTCGCTAAAGGTCGCAAGGTTGACCCTCATGGCCTTTGATCTCGCGGCCTCTGGCAAGGGCCATCATTGCCGATGGTAGGGCCAGGCTTGACCCTCGCTAGCCTGGCCGTTGGCGAGGTCGACCTTGCCCAGTGATGATGAGGTCGACCTTGCCCGGGGCTAGGGTCGTCAGCAACCTCGCCCGGGGTGAGGGTCGTCAGCAACCTCGCTGGCCTCTATGAAAAAATAGAAAAAAAGGAAAATAATAATAAATTCATAAAATTTTTGGAAATTTATAAAAATTATCCACGTCGGCACCGGCAGTACTACGTCAACAATTACTGGTCAAACTGGCCGTATACACTAAATTGACAAATTATCAAAAGGTTTAGGACTAAATTGGCCAAATTAAAATATTTAGGACTGAATTGGTATAATTATAATAGGTTTGTGATTTTTTTTTGGTAATTTTGCTGCAATTCGCATCCTAAGAGACTAAAGATGGATAGTTCCACTCACCCATGGATAGCTCAGTTGGTTAGGGCGTACTTGGGATTGTGTGGTTAGGCGTACTGGTCCCAGGTTCGATTCCCCAGCTGAGCACTTGTGATTTAAGTGAGGGGCCATGGCGGTGGGTTGCTGTGCTAGTCTCCCCCGAGGAATAGTCGAGGTGCACGCAAGCTGGCCCGGACACCTCGGTTACCAAAAAAAAAAAAAAGATGGATAGTTCCTCCACGAATCATGAGACAAATTGTTGTTATTAATGTTCTTTGCCGTTGGTGGTTAAACATAGAGAGGACTTGTGGTGCATGGATGCGCTCGACATATCTGACTATGAACCATGCATCTACACCTATTATATATGTCTTGAGCAATAACTGAGCAACCTTGAATTGGTCGTTGACCTGCCATCAGATCCTGAGCCTCGTGAAGCAATTCTTTTTTCTTCCGACCAAACAAAACGCTCATTGTTTATAAACTTGGGAAGTCTATCACCGTCGATGAGATCACAAGTCGTTGCCCCTTTATTTGTTGGGATAATGACCTAAACAGTTTTTGAATTTTGACTCAATGTGAAATGTGATCCATGAACTTTTAATTTATTCAATGTAATCCAAGAACTTTAACTTAATGTTCAATGTGATCCCTGAACTTTTAATTTGTTTAATGTGGTCTGTGGACTTTTGATACATATTTAATGTAATCCTTGAACAATATGAAAATGTTCAATGTAGTCCCTGAACTTGAATTAATGGAAGGACTACATTGAATATTTTCATATAGTTCAGAGACCAAATCGAACATATACTAAAAGTTCATGGACGATATTAAATAAATTAAAAGTTCAGGAATCACATTGCACATTGGATTAAAGTTCAGGGACCACATTGAACAAACTAAAAGTTCATGGATCATATTGCACATTGAACCAAAATTCAATGACTATTTGTGTCATTTTCCCTTATTTGTTTATGCTAACTCTGTATGAAAGCATGCATTTCTCTAAGCAAGAAGAGAAACAATTCACGCGAGTTCTTACTTCGATTTTGAAGGGTTTGGTTTAGGAGGGCAAAAGTAACTAGCAAATTACGAACACGAGATCCGTAGTCAGCGGCGAGAGACATGGGCGAGTCACTCAACTTTCCCACAGCGGACCTAGTTTGAGCGTGGGAAATATGAAAAAGACTACCCGTTTCACGAAAAGGATCATCGTGTGCTCTCGACTTATGTGAACTCCATAGAAACGAGCTGTTAAATTTGGCGGGCCTCTCGTGATGCACATGATCTGATGAGTCATAGCCAAGTGCAAGCAAGTGTTGGATCCTTTAACAGCATGCAACTACCAAGAGCTGGTTAAAGGCATTAGATTAAGTTCAGGAGAAGAGAAAAAACAAGCATTTGAAATTTAACAGTATGTCAATACAGTCCCGGCTTAGTCAGACCAAACAAAGGAAAAGCACACGACAAACCATAAAGCTGACCCTTCATCCTGGTGTTAACTTCAATATCGGTTAGATCTTTCCCATTTACATTAACTATGCAGAGACTGTACCAGATTCAACTGGTAATGCATTCAAGAATAATATTCCTGAATTATGCAATATCTTCTTGATGCCGATGGTATACTGAAACAAGCTGAAAATCACACATTGACCAGTATATCAACCCAAGAGACAACTAAGCTAAGCATTAGGACAAAAGTAAACAGGAAATTCAAATGAACTAACTTTATTTGCGTATAATGATATGCGAGCCAGTCAAAATCAATGCCCCTGTTCATAGCTCTACAAGCTCCTCAGACTAGATGAGCACAACAACAGCAGGGAGGAATATGCTACTAAATGCCTCAGAACTAGCAGAGAGAATGAAGCGTGAAGCCACCGTAGGTCAAGTTAGGGCTTCGAATGAGTCTGAGCTTCTCATGAGTCGCTTGAGCTAACTGGCAGACTATTTGATGTCAGCTCGATTCTTTTCAGATTCGAGTTCAATTTGAGCAGATCGAGCACTCATTGAGCTCATAGCTGAATATACTAGACTCAGTTACCAAAAGAATAAAGTATGTTAGACTTCAAGTGGCTAGAGACCATGGCTGAGCAGATGATTTTTCCCATATTCTAATTGTAATTAAACATTTCTAAATACCACAAGTACGTAAGAACACCATTTCAAATGAAAAAGAAAATCTCGTTTCAGCTCAAGCTCAAACAAAAATTACCTTTGAGTTTGAGCTTGCTTGAGCTAAAAAAAATTAAACCGAATTGAGATCAAGCTTGCGTAGTAAAGTCTGTTGCTCGACTAGACATCTGCTAATGAATCAAGTCGACCTCAAGCGTGCTTGAGCTCATAAAACTTTTCATCAATTCACAGTCTAACTTTAAAAAAGGAAGAAAAGCTCAATCGAGCTCAAAATGAGTCTTGACCCCTCACACAATTCAAAAGGAGTTGAGCTGGAGTTGTAAACTGCCTTATCGGAATGCACTCGATAGATTCTCCAAGATCACCTTACACTGAAGCGTATTTGTATGAAAAAAAAGTAGCAACATAAGTGCAATATAATCGGATGGAAAGTCCAAATTAATCACAGAAACTTAAAATACTTGGGATCAGCATATAGGACTTGTAAAAGAGGGAAAATGGGAAGAGAAGAGACCTTACAGGCAGAGCATGATTCATCACACACACGTACCCTAATACAGAATGGAGGTGGGGAAGCCAAAAAAGGGGGAAATAAAAAATAGACTCAAAAAGAAATTTATTGGAGTTTGATATAGATTTTCTCAGTTGTCACCCATGCTAAAGAACTTATTCTAGTGAAGGATCGGCTTCCAAGAAGCAAACCACTGGTTAAGCAATAATTAATTCCTGTGGAACATCAAGACGAAGATCAAGGCCTTGTTCAGTTCAGATGGATCGATTCGCTAAGATAGGCTAACAAACAGAAATTAAGCTAACGAACCAAATGATACAGAACCAAGGTAGGACAGGCAAAAGAAAAATTCACCTCTATGGAAGCATAAGCTTCTTGTTTAAGATCACTTAAGAAAGAACATGAAAAGAAAACACAAGCTACCTAAATCACGTCTTAAGTGATACCAAATTCTGCTGATGGTGAAAAGGAATCAGATGGTTATCTCATTGGCATTCCCAACCTACATTATACAAACTCGCAGACACTAGCCAACAACTTGCAATTGATAGTTCCAATTGGAAAGGAAGGGAGCATAAATATTTAAGAACAAGGAAATAAATTAAACCTAATTCCACCGATAATGAAAAACATTCATTCGCAAATTTGAAAATGCAAAATAATAGCATTCAGCAACATATGAGAAGCATAATTAGCTACAGGAAAGTTCTTAATCCTTCACATTAAACTATGCTCTTCAAAACATTGGTCAAAATTTTGAGACAGACTTACACTTCTTGCCCAAAACCTCAAATAGGAAATATGAATAAAAAATACTTTCTAACCATGATAAACGTAGAGAAAATAATGAACTGCTACATGCAAGGAACAGCCGGACAGGCCCATTGCTACCTTGGAACCACAAAGAAGCAACCCAAATATGCAGAGAAAATGCCATTACTAAAAGCAAGACAGAATGCAAGACTGTACGATTGAAGGAAGCAAGAGGTACAATCTCCCACGAGGAGAAAAGTAAACAAAGCTCCTTAATCAGGATATTCATGGTCTAAATGTAACTTCCCTGTTCAAGTTCTAGCTTACCCTTTCACACAAAGCTCTTTAATGGGAAAGAATCAATTGCTGAATACTTACTCCATATCTAGTACATGAATCATGAAAATCCTAAAAAGAGGTAATAAGCTCTGGGCGCAGTTCAAGCAAAGAAATCTGTACAGACAATGACTAAGGAGTTAGTTATATGACATGCAAAGTTACTTATACATATACATGCTCTCCTTCAATGGAGATACAGATGGAGAATTACACCATCCACTATAAATGCTTCATTTAGCTTGGGAATGGATTCCAATGTTATGACGAAAGCGCACATTACAAAGTTACATATACCACTAAAAAAATGGACAGCTTTATAAAATGAAAACTGAGTGCCTGTGTTTAAGAAACCTCACTGACTATAACCAAAAACAGGAAGTGTCTCTGTGTTTCCAATTTTGGTTCTACTCAGCTTCATCCGCCTGCTCAGCATCAGGTATCAACTCGTCTGATGCAGCTTTGGACTGCAAGCTTTCTTTAGTTTGTAGCTTCAGAAATTGCTTACTTCGTGCCACTCTTAATGGTCTTCCCATAAAATCCTGAAGCAATGTTTCGGCCAAAATACATGTTAAAATATGCTGCTTATACCCATGTACAAATCAGCAGCTAACGAATCAAGTGTGTATCAACACAAACTACTCACCTTCCCCTGAAAGGTTGTCAAGGCTGCCTCAGCCTCTTTCTTGGATATGAAAGAAACAAATCCATATCCAGAAGACCTTCTTGGATTTTCATGAAATATTATTTCCGCAGAAGCAACCCTACCACTCCCCGAGCCGAAAAACTCCCTCAGGTCTTTCGCTCTAGCCTGATACGACAGATTAGCCACGAACAAGTTGAATGTTGCGACCGGTCTGGGTTGCGCAGGAGGAGGAGGTTTCTTCTTTCGCAGTTTCGCATAGTTGACTTTCAATACTCTACCCTCGAATTCCTACAAAATATTCATAAAAGAATTGAAATTTTAGCCCGGGATAAAACACTTCCATGGCGATACACTCAAATCACATCTAGCACCACCTGATTTCATCTTATGAGGGTTCAAGTGTAACTCAAGGGCAATAAGGAACTCAAGAGCCAGATATACACTCATCAAATACATTAACGCTGCATACAGGTTCAACTTCCACACGATCAGTAGTCAAATTAACTTCAAATTACTTTTACACACTACCATAAAACATCAGGCGACAAAACCATTACTAAAGAAGGAAAATTCGACACCCAATCACTATAACAGGTGGATAAACAAGAGAAAGCGGGAGAGACATGCTTACGGACGATTCGAGACTGTTGAGAGCAGCGAGAGCCTCCTCAGCTGAACCCATCTCCACGAAAGCTAGACCCCTGTTCATCGTCTTACTATGCATCGACAGCTGAAACGCAACCACAATACGCACAACCCATCAACACCCGGCGAATTTCTCTTTCCGTGCAACCAGAGCATCAGACGCAAACGACAAGGAGCAACGGAGCGCGCACGAACCTCGACTTCGACGACCGTCCCGTGCTTCTCGAACAGAGACCGAACATCCTCGGCAGTACAAGCCCAGGGAATGTTCTGGGCAATCAATCTGGTCCTCGAGAACTCTTCTTCCTCCTCCTCTTCTTTGCCTACTGGGGCGGCACCCTCGTCATTTGCGGGCAACTGGGTTTCGACAAGAAGAGCCGAAGTCGCCGAAGAAGAAGCGCAATGGCAATGGTAAAGGGGCGAAGGCCTTATCGGCTTAGATTTGAGAGAGCGGCGCAGAGGAGAAGGGAGCGGGGACTTCGGTAGGGGAAGCGACAGGAAGGGTTGAGGGTGTAGTGGGTGAGCGGGAGCGGAAGGGAAGACGTCGGAGGAGAACGGCGAGGTCGAGGGGAAGCACTGAGGGTGGCGAAGCAGGGAAGCCATCGGCGGTGTCAAGGGTGGTCGCGACCTGCGAGCTGCGCAAATTCCTGAAACATCGGTTTGGATAAGGGAGGGAGAGATGGAAATATCGCGATTGAAGAAGAAGGTTTAAGCCCATGAGACGGCGTCGTTTTTCCTCGACTGTGATTTTATCCGAGAAGAAAAATTCCATACAGGGATATGTAGCGGACCCATTTTCTCAAATAAAGATCTAGACTGAACTTTGTTTTAAATAAAGAGTTGAAGTTAGGGGTGATCGGTTTCCAGTCCGGTTCGGTTCCATATTGGAATCGAGAACCGTACCGGGTGGACGGGTTCCTAAAATTGAGAATTGGGGACCGGATCGATTGGTCCTAGTACCGGGAACCGGATCGAATCGGTGGTTCGATCCGGTTCGATCTGGTCCACTTAGGGTTTAGTTCACATTTTGTTAATTTTTGTCAATGAATTCTTATCAATGAAGTTCACTTAGGATTTAGTTCACATTTTACTAATTTTTTTGAAAAAAAAGTATATGTAATTGGTCCAGTCTGGTCGGTCTAGTTTGGTCCGATTCCACTTTTAAAAACCGGAAATCAAACCGATACTTCCTGGAATCGAACCAAATCGATTTAATTTGGTCAGGGCGGTTCCCGGTTTGCAACCCCTACTTGAAGTGGCCAAGTTGATCTATGGTTGTATCTCGACCAAAAAAATAAGTTATGGTTGTATCTGTGATAAAAAGTTCATCAGATGTCCTTGAATCTTTTCGATTTATTCTTAGACTATATATTTATCTATTCAAGTAAGGGCCCGTTTGGCAATTTGCCAAACAGTAAAAATTTCTGTTCTTTTGTTCCCAAAATCAGTTTAGGAATAGAAATTCGTTTGTTAAAATTTTTGTGCTCGGGCACAAATTTGAAAAAAATTGTTTCCAAAATCAGTTTTGGAACAAAATCAAGAAAGCAAAAAAAGTAGCTTCTTGATTCTGGAACAATTTTTTCATTTCTAATTCTTGGTTTTCTTTTTTTTTCTTGATTTGTTGTTCTTCTTCTTCCCGGCCTGCCGCCGGCCGCTGATCGCTGCCACCAGCCATCTCCCACAGGCCAGGGCCAATGAGGGCGGCTCGCGGCCGCGATGGCGAGGCCTCGCCCAACCATGGCAAGGCCGACCTCGCCATTGCCACCCACAGGCGACGGCGAGGGCCGTGACGCACTCGCTGGCCCTGGCCTGTGCCGTCGACCAGCCATGGCCAAGGAAGGGAGGGAAAAAAAAGAAAAAAAAGGAAAAAAAAAAAGAAAAAAATATTAAAAAATTCAAAATATTATTAATAAAAAGAAATTTTGTGTAGTTACCAAACGCATTTCTGTTCTGTTTCTATTCTAAGAATAGAAATTTTGGGCAGTTACCAAACATCTTTAAATGCTTAGAAATTGTTTTCGAGCACAGAATAAAAAAAAATCATTTCTGAGCAGAATTTGTTCCCGGGCATAGAATTGTTGCCATGTGCAGCCTAAGTGGCTGGGTGCCCAACGCTCTTACCTCGTATCCCGGTACGTGCTGGCGTGAGCACGAAGCGATGGGTCAAGGTTGCAAATGAGACATTGCAGTGATCGAAAAAGTTCGGAAACCTCCGAAGGCTTTATTTCTCTTTAGAAGTGTCCTTTGTTGGTTTTGAAACGATACAGATCTCCATCGACATCGTTACGACATGTTTTGACTTGATCGGCCCAGGGATGTGAATCGAAAAGGAGAGTTGGTTGTTGCCCGATTGAATGTTGTTTGGTCCGGTTTGGAAAACATTGCCTGTGCGCCCTAATTCTAAGCCATTAGGCCGAGTGTCAATTCAATCAACTGTTAAGAGAATAATTACTATATCATATGAACTCTTTTATATCTAGGGTTAATACCACAAAAAATACAAAACTAATATATTTGTGACAAATTTACCCAAAATTAACTTTTAGGTCATCAAAAATTCCAAACGGATACACTTGTGACATATTTACCTTATATTAGCTTTCATCAAAATTTATTGTGAAATTACTCAACTAACATATTAAGTCTATATGGAAATCCATATCGGTTTGGGGTAAATTTGTCATAGGTATACCAGTTTGAAGTTTTGGGTAAATTTGTCACAGGTGTATTGGTTTGGAGTTTTTTGTGATAATAAATCTTATATTTATAAAGTGCACTTTCAGACTTATATTCTATTAATAATTTAAAATATTAAAATTAGTGCCTAGAATGATTTCACCTGAGACTTAGGCCCGTTTGGCAACTTGCCAAATAGTAAAAATTTCTGTTCTTTTGTTTTCGGAATCAGTTTGGGAACAAAAATCCGTTTGTTAAATTTTTTGTGCCCGAGCACAATTTTGCAAAAAATTGCTCCTAAAATCAGTTTTGGAACAGAATCAAGAAGCAAAAAAAAGTAACCTCTTAATTCTGGAACAATTTTTCCATTTCTGATTCTTCTTGATTTTCTTCTTTTTTTTGGCTTGTTTGTTGTTGTTCGGCCTGCCGCCCACCATTTGCCGGCCGCTAGCGACCAACCACAAGCCAGGTCGGCGAGGGCGTCGCGGCCCTCACCGGTGGCTGGCGAGGGCGGTTCGTGGTCGCGACGGTGGGGCCTCGCCCAGCCAAGGCAAGGCCGACCTCGCCGTCGCGACCAGCGAGGGCGGCAGCGAGGGTCGCGACGCCCTCGCCAGCCCTAGCCTGTGGCCAGTCACTGGCGCCGGCGACCGGCCATGGCCAAGGAAAGGAAGGGCAGGGAAAGAAAGAAAAAAAAAAGAAAAAAAAGAAAAATTCAAAAATTCAAAATATTATTAATAAAATGAAATTTTGTGTAGTTACCAAACGCATTTCTATTCTTTTTCTATTCTAAGAATAGAAATTTTGAGTAGTTATCAAATGCCTTCAAATGTTTATAAAATTGTTTCCAGGCACGGAATAAAAAAAAATCATTTCTGAGCAGAATCTGTTCCCGGGTATAGAATGGTTGCCATACGTAGCCTTAGGGTGCGTTTGGTAACCATTTTGTTTTCGGAAACAATTTTTGCTCAAAAATGATTTTTTTTTATTTTATTCCCGAAAACAATTTCTAAGCATTTGGTAACGGCCCAAAATTTTCATTTCTGGAATAGAAAAAGAACAGAAATGTGTTTGGTAACTGCACAAATTTTATTTTTATTAATAATAATTTTAAATATTTTAATATTTCTTTCTTGTTCTTTTCTTTTCTTTTTTTCTTCCTCTCCTTATTGGCCATGGCCGGCGAGGGCGTCGCGGCCCTCGCCGGCCTTTTCCAGCTCTCGCCTGAGCCGGCAAGGGCCGTAGTCGAGGCTTGCGGCCTGGGTGAGAGCTGCTCTCGCCGGATCTGGCGAGGGCTAGACCCTCGCTGCCGCCCTCACCAGATCCGGCGAGGGTGGCCCTCGCCCAGGTCATGAGGGTCCAGGCCTTGCCCTCGCTTGTGGCCGGCGAGGGCGTCGTAGCCCTCGCCGGCCTTGGCCTATGGCATGTTGCTGGCCACCGGCCAGGAAAGAAGAAAAAGAAAAAAAAAATCTCTTCTATTTTTTATTCTGTTCCAAAACTGATTCTGGGAATAAATTTATATCCGGGAACAAAAAATTTACCAAATGAATTTTTATTCTTTTTTTATTCCCGGGAACAAAAGAATAAAATCAGTCACTATTTGATAAGTTACCAAACACATCCTTATTATACTTGTTCTTCTGCATTACATAATTAGAAGAACATAAAGTTACATTAGGGGAAGAGTTTCCAACATGGCATAGAGAATGACCCTTTTCGATTCCAACTTTCCTCATATTAATCCCCATATCTTGGTGGTAATGAGGCAAAAAGGATGTCTGCTTGATCCATCTTTTGAAAGAGATCATATCATATGCTAGAAATCCTAAGCCCATACATGCCCATTTCGCACTTTAAAAAGTTAGATTAGCGAAATGGGTTATGGTGTTAATTCTAAAAAAAAAATGCGGTGTAAAGTGTAATTTTGCCCCCATCTTCAATTTCCTAGTTTCCTTTAAATAGAAATGAGTGTTCGTTCTCATACGTGATTGAACACTACACATTTCGAGACTCACTCAGCTTCGGATATTTCAAAATTCCATTGACTAGTTAACTTTAAAATAGCTCTAATCTTCTATTAGATCATTGTTCTTGATAGTATCAGAGGATGTCATTGCAAAAATAAGGAATGGTTACCGAGTAGAAAGGAATGATTACTAGTTGAGAAACGAACAAATGGTCGAGAAATTCGAGATGCGAAATCACCAATCTAAGGAGATTTAGGCAGATCTCCAACAAACCCTATTCCTCTTTCTTTTTTTCTTCTTCTTCTCGAGTAGATGCTTATTTTCTACTTGTGTAATGTTGAGGTTTTGGTAAACTAGTGGCTGCTGTTTAGTGTGCGGTAGAAAGTGAAGAGGAAGAGTGGGTGAAAAAAATATAGAGCTTTGGTGGAAGATCAGTTTCGCTTTGAAAGGTATTTACCACCTTACGCATGATGTCGGACATCACGAGTGCTAATCACACATCCTAAACCTGCCTTTCAGGAGATTAAATCATCATTATCGTTGTATCTCGATTGGGACGTGGGAGCAGAAAAGAATGACTCCTCCAACACCTACCAGCAGTAATATCCACTAAGAAAATCGAAAAGATCAAAGAAGAAAGGTCGCTCTCGTCAATGAAGTGCCCACTGTATCAAAGGGAATGAATATAAGCTGCTCTATTCTCTATTCAAATTTGTTTTAATTATGCAATTCAGAATATGAATTGCCTTTCCTTTAATTTGCGTTATTTGCATACTCTTTCCGAGTGACTGCTCAGATTTTAGTTGGTGCAATGCCCTCGAGAGGGTTCATCCATCACCTTTATGAGGCGACGTGTCGTCATTCACCAAAGCTATGGTCGTTCTCGCGCTTCCTTAGTTCGGTTTCATTTCTTCTCTTGAGCAAGAGGTTACATATGCTAACACTGGTCCACGAGTCGATAAAAACCTCTCGAGACACGCGAGTCGCTTCGACATTTGCGCGCCGAGCGAGATCGACGCATGCGCGTGCCCGAGAAGTCGA